CTGCTTTGAGCAGGGGGTTGGACTAGATGACCTCTTGAGGTCCCTTCCAACCCTGATATTCTATGATTCTATGACAAGGTGGGTGAGGTAATATCATTTTTGGACCAAGTTCTGTCAACTTCCTACCTTGTCTCTCTAATATCCTGGGACCGAAATAGATACAACTACACTGCATATTCCAATTGAGAGTCAGACAAGACAGTACTAAGTAGAACTGGTTGAAAAATTGGATATTTTACCCCGCAGAAAATTTTGACAAAATGAAGACAAGAGCTTAGTTGTCTAAATTTTCAACATAAAATTTTGATTTTGGCAGAAATGCAAATACCCAAAGATTTCAGATAAAAAGCAAAGATTCCAATTTAAAAATGCTGCTGTAGTACCTCATGGGAGTTGTAGTTTGGATACCTTATGCTCCCACTCTCCTCTATAGGGCAGGTTCCCTAGTCAGAATACGTCTCTCGTGATGCACCACAGTCCCCCTCTTGGTGAGGGGTGCATCACTGGAGATGTAGTCCAGCTAAGAAGCCAGGCCCACAGAGGAGAATAGGGACATGAGGCACCAGAACTTCAAATCCCATTAAATATTGTAGTGACGTGTCCATATCAAACTATTTGATCGTTAGTAGAAATAGTGCAGTCTTTGGGTGCTTGGGTGTGGTTTTTTTGGTTTTTGTTTGATTGTCTGTTTTTAGGAAGAAAAGTGGAAGTTTTCCACAGAAAGCAGACAATTTTTGTGATTTTTTTTTTAAACCAATTTTCCATCACAAACAATTTTGATGGAAAATTTTTGATCAGCCCTAATACTGACCAAGCTTCTTTGAATAGCTTTAACAATATACTTCAGTTGAGACTTGCAATACTATACTATTTCAATTTCAGTCCTGAGCCTCTGAAGCAGAGACTACCAATTGTGCCACATTCTTTGGTGGTGGTTTTATGATATGTACTAGACCAAGATAACCCAACTCAATTCCACCTCACTTTAACGTCAGGATTTGAAACTAGGTCTCCAAAGAAGAAAGGAAAGTGCACTTTCTACATTTATTCTTAAGCCTCTTAAAGTTATTTTCAGATACCACAGCTTTCAGGACATCACTAGCGATCAGGTTTTCATGTAATGTGACACTACTGAGGGGAAAGCTACAAGCAAATTTTTGAGGTCAATACATTTGCACCAATTCAAATTTGGTCCTTCATTTTTATGATCCACAGAATCCAATTCTCGATATGAAGAAAGATTTTTGGGCAGGCTTGAAAAACAATAACTGCATCTGGGAGAATTAACCTTAACATTTTAAATAAAAAAGTTATTTTGATTTATTAAGTTTAAAGTCATCCAATAATCAGCCATTTTTAACAGCTTCTTCCAGTCCACCTTGCTGGTTTGGGGGAACGAGGTAATTATCTTACAGGATTACGTATTTATTATTAAATCTGACTGTCTTCACTCCAAGAAAGTGGATGCTTCTTTTCATCAGGATGTAATGCAGAGTGAGAGGAAAGACTACTTTCAATAGTGCAGGAGCAGTGCAAACACAATCCAAATATTCCTCACCCCCCAAAATGGTTTCTTGTTTAGTCATACAATACTGCTGAAAACAGCTAAAAATAAGCAATGAAGTATTTTGTGGCATCACTATATCAAATAAACTTTGTAAACTTTATTAACTAAATGTTATTGCAAGTTGATTTTTAGAAAAAAATATTTTCCAGCAGACTGAGTCTACTCAGCTTTCCATTGATAAATAAATGCATCTTTCTGAGAACGGTTACAGTGTGCTATAAAATACAGCAAAACCAGATAACACTAGATGCACCTTCATTTTATTACTTACTAATTTCAGATCCTTAGAGGACAGCTTTGTAAACCACTGATTGTATTCCAGGGCAGCAACTATAGGTATTAAGTCTCTAGAAAAAGAAAAATATTTTTAAACACTGTTCACACTTATTGTCAAGTTTCGTCAGCTGAACACTTATTCTTATATACTTAATTTACTTTGACTCTTTAACAGTCAATTATCAGGATTTTAGAAAGCTCTGCATTCTAAAAATACAAATAGTGGAGAGGGGAAATCAATTGGATTTGGTATGACTTGCCTTAATTTTAATATGAATTTTTTGACTGGTCAAATAATATCCATATGAATATTTAAACAGGAAATTGTCTGAGCTGACATCCCTAGTCATACCACTACTTTTTCTTCAGCCTGTGACATATTTAAGCTTCTTAATCACCATTAATTATAGTTGAGCATGATACTAAAAGCTTTTTGGCAGCCTGATGATTTAATATAAATCTGTGACTGACTAATTCTAGTCAACATCTCCTTGTCTCTTCTCTCAAGTCATATCCCCCAAGGAAACAGGGGCCGTGCAAAAGGATAATGTAACGTTCAGCACAAACCCTCTCCTAATTGTAAAAGGGATTTCACAAATGAAATTCTAAATGATTCCTGTTCCCTTATTCCAAGATTCTTAATTTGATCTGCTCTACTTCTGTTAGTTTCTCCACAAATAAACACTGGTAAAGGCATGCTGTTAAAAACCTTTGCATGCAACCCCGGAGCAGAGTAACATATCAAATATTATCACAGCATTTAGTATGCTACGTAGTAATACTCAGCAGTCAGATAATCTTCCCCTCCCCCACATTAATACATATGGGGGGGGACACACAAACTCACACACACAAATCACTCTATAAACCCTTGTCTTGCCCAGTAGAAACTAGGACATACAGTAGAACCTCACAGTTACAAACACCTCAGTAATGGAGGTTGTTCATAACTCTGAAATGTTTGCAATCTGAAGAAAATGTTATGATTGTTCTTTCAAAACCTTACTTTAAATGAAACAGGCCCAGAAACAGTTTAACTTGGTAAAAAAAATTTAAACCCCCCCCCCCTTTTTTTTTTTTACTTCCGGGCTGGTTCTAGGTGTTTTGTCGTCCCCAGCCCTGGGCTCCCGCCCACCAGTGCTGACTCCGCCTGCTCCCCCCTCGCCTCCATCCGGTCCAGCGCTGGCAGGGTCGGGGTAAGCAGCGGTGCTCCCGGGCCACGCCTCAGCCCAGGGTCCCTCCAGCCAGGGCTCCCGCCTCCAGGACCGGCCGAGACCCGGGGGACCACCCCGGCAGGGGGCTGAGGAGCCGGGGCAGGGTAGCCCCAGAGGGAGCAGAGTCCTGGAGAGCCCAACGCGGGCCCCGCACGGCAGCGCCCTGCCCTCTATGGCCCCGCTGCTGCTGCTGCTTCTGGCCGCCCTGCCGCAGTCCCTGGACGGCTTGGGCTGCTTCGCTCAGCCCCGACTGCGGTGCTGGGGGGCGGCCGCCCTACGGCATCTGCAGGCAGCTCTGTGTGTCCAGAGGGGCGGCCCCCGCCCGAGTGTCCCCCCGCTTGGAGCCTGCCCGGCCCAGCCACAAGTTGCAGGTGCTGCTCCCTCGTGGCGTGAACCGCAGTGGCCCCAGGGCACGATGCACTGCTGCAGCCAGGGCCGGCTCTAGGCTTTTGCCGCTTGAAGCAAAACGAAAAAAAAACAAACAAAACAAACAAAAAGATGGCCAGAATGCTGCCCTTGAAAATGTGCCGCCCCAAGCACGTGTTTGGTTTGCTGGTGCCTAGAGCCAGCCCTGTCTGTAGTAGTAGTTTACTACTAATACAGTACTTTACTGCATTTGCCTTTTTTTTTTTTTTAAGTCTCTGCTACTGCCTGATTGTGTACTTCTGGTTCCAAATGAGGTGTCTGGTTGGCCAGGCAGTTCAAAACTCTGGTATTCGTAACTCTGAGGTTCTACTGTAGCTACTGTATATGTAAATATTCTAAATCTACCTAGTGCTAGTGCAAACTGAACTTCAATCTTCATGGGGCACAATCTGTAAATCTTTCCCAAGCTTTCGATCCAGGAGCATGCACTGGGCAGGCATCTTCTCTGTACACACAGCTCCTCTTTCCTTTATTTTCCCCCCCATTTACCTGTTTTATTTCAATCATTTTTGGTGGGGATATTAAAAAAGTGGAGACTCAGATGCACCTGTGATTCTAATGAATGTTTCAGACAAACACTGACTAGACTATATTCTTTCAGGAACTGTGGCTTTCTATATTCTGAAATATAAGGCCATCTCTAACGCAATAAGAGAATGACGATGTGCAGCAAAATAATGTTGTACACCAACTGTAAAGCTAATATACAAGAAGGTTATTTGTATAGTCTAGTTTAGATATAGAAATATGGTACACCACAAGGAATGGGCCTATCGCCCATGTTGTTCAATATATACATGAAGCCTCTTGGTAAATTCATTTCCAAACATATAGTACAGTATCATCGGCATGATGATACAGAAGGATTTATCTCTTGTCCAACAGCTTCTGCAATTTTGGTCTCAGCTGTGAAGTAGTATTTGAATATTGCTAGATGTATAAATCAGGACTATTTCACCTTCAAGCCTGGAAAAACAGAAGTCTTGCTTTCGAGTAGAGGTCATCTATACAAAACAAGCTTGTTTTTCCTGTGTGACTCCACTTGATGGGATTAGTATGAAGGTAATGAATCAGGTTAAGAACCTTGGTGTCTCTTTTGTCATTGCCTTGGCCTTGGAAAACTAGGCATGGGACATGGTACAAACGCAGATTTATTTTTCTGTTGTGCAATTTGTCTCAGATACACATATTTATACCATAATGACCTCGCAACAGTAATATATGAACTTTGTGGTTAGAAGAGCAACTGTTGCAATTCCTTCTTTTCAAGGTTTTCAGTAGTGCTGCTCCATCAACCAGCTACAACTTATTCAACATGATTACTCACTCATTTGAGCTATCGTGATCCTAAAAAAATCCGTTTTTAAAAATATTGTCTGTCTATAAAGCGACGGATGACTCTAAACTGACACTGCTGATTTATAAATCCTTAATTCCTGCCCCTAATTATATTCAAGACCTACTCCTATCAACTGATATGACTGGTATCAGTATCTGCGCTCACACAACTCAGCTGTTTAGGGATCCCATCTTCCCACCCATCATGCGTGAAGATGGCAAGACAACTACTTTCTACTGTGTAGAACTTGCTCCCCATGGAAATTTACCTAATTTCATCCTTCACATTTTCGATGAACCTTAGGGTATTTTTGCTTAATTGTATTTGAAAAGGTGCTTCTGAATGCTGTCAGCCCTACGTCTATTACTTTACCTCATTTCCAATCCCTTCCTTTCCTGTTCTTAATTCTCTTCTCCACCTCACTCATTCTTGAGATTTCGATTTAAAAAATGATATTTTATAATATTTTTATTACATTTTGTTTTGATTACATTGTGTATGCTGTACAGTGACATCAGTGCTTTTGCTGGGAAATGAGAATGAATGCTAAATAAAATGATTAATTATTGATCACTTCCAAAAACAGAGATTTTCCACAACTTTTCTTCACTAATTTATATTTAGTTATTTATATTTACAAGTTAGTGTGTTAACTACTTCGCTATTGAAAAATAAAAGGTTATTTACAAAAAGAATACTGTATACAACACAAAAGCATTAAAGGAAATGCAGAAAATCTCAGTAAGTCTCAACAATGCCAAGCTTTGCCACTGAATTCATGTTTTTCAACACCTTTGTCCCCGGTGTGTTTAAAGGTGGTGAGAAATCTAAATACTGAAATATTTTTAAAACAAAGAACACAAGTTTCCAATTGAAGGTTGCTCACACTTTCCCCAGACAATTCATAGATTTATGGCAAGTTCAAGCATACTAAAATATATGCTTCCCAAGTGAATATTCTGCTGCTAAGCTAAGCAAGCTCTTTGCACTTTATTTTATTTTTTTTGGGTAGGTTAAACAATTTTCTGGTTCACAGCACAATACACCTTCGAATAAAACGTAAGAAGGAGTATTCCCATGTGGCGAACTCTGTTATACAGTGCTACTGTGTTAAACAACCTTGGTTCCCAAACTCTTATCTATAATTCATGAAATTTTATGCTGACCTCTAGCAGAAATGTGCACCTGCAAAACAGGTTTAACAGAAATATTTTACATTTCAGGAAAAATATAAGCATTTGTGCAGTGCATGGAATGCATGGTAATAACATTGAGGTAGGGTCACCACTTTATTTCCTATCACCATGACATATCACTGTACTGTTACCTCACAAGACAGGGTGCTGAGCTACAATAGTTTTCATAGCATTTTAGTGATCCTGAAAGTCTGGTCTGTAGGATGTATGATAGTATTGTAAAAATCAAGACTCTCACTAACGTTGGTAAATTAATATTATTGTTGCTTATTCATAGCACCCTCAGTGTTCTACACATATTACAAAACACATACAAATATACTTTTTGCCCTGAAAATCTTATTGGGTCAGACTGGGATCTCAGATCTCATAACTAATATCTTTAATTGAGACTATAAGATCTTGGCTTCCCAATAGTTTGTACCAGCATTTTAGCAGGTTTCCACACACAAATTCTCTCTTATCTAATTTCCAAATCTTGGGATGCTGCAGTGGTCTTGTCCTGTCATCACAAAAGGCTTTGTGACTTGTCAATGTCCCTTAATAACTATTGGATCTTTGATCTGGAGCAGTAATAGGCCATCTGCTAGAAATTATCATCATCTTAAAATGATATTCTGATTCCCTAGCTATTAATCTTTGGACCACAAAACTCAATGTTGCATTCTCTGGTGCATCTTCTGCAACACAACCACATGTGCTCCAATAAGTCTGTTAATCAATTCTTTTCAGATCTTAGGATGCCTGGCATCCAAACCAGCTGATTTGTACCATACATGCTTCAGTTTTTCAAGTACTACTTTTATCTGCACATCAATAGATAATACTTTTACAGGATCTTCCTTACTGACTAATGGTTCAAACTTCTTTTCCATATAAGTAAGGAAGCCATTTTTAAATAATTTTTTCATAACCTCATCTCATTTACTGATGAACCCCGACATTCTCTCTGGTATTTTTCACCAGCAATACATTTTAAACTATTATGCTTCTTTGCCTGTTTGGCTTGTATGGAATGATTCTGCTTTTTTGCTGTCCTTATCTTGCCTCAGGAAACCTTGACTGAATATTCTTATTTGCCTGCCTCCTGCTTTTCCCTTTTCCATTATAAGATTTTAAACCTCAGCTTTCTGGCAGATTCTTATTTCTTTCATGCTTCTTTCAGAGAAACTGCAGTCTGCCACACCTTAATTATAGTGTCTCAATGTTTCCCTGTTTTCTTCCAGACCGGTGGAATTTAAATTAAATATTTCTTCCCACTGCATCTTACATACTACATGTATTCAAAATTAGCTTTCCTGAAAACCACTGTCCTTATACTGCTGCATTCAGTGAACCAAATTTCATACTTAGCAGAACTCAAGCAGTTCATATTCACTGTTTCCAAGCTCCCCAATTATTCTCAATTAGAGAGAGAAAAAAAAAAAAAACTAATCAGTGAGCACATCCAGGATGACTTCCATTCCAGCTGAAGTCTCTACTTTCTGAACAACAGATAATTTCTACATTTTCTGCAGACTGTTGGCAAAACTAATTTCCCCTGCTCTACGCACAAGGGGAAGGAGACTCTGCAGGAGCAAAGGCAACACAGTTTGACTCTTCACTTTATTTAGGAGATGTAGAAAGGAACCTTCAAGTTGTCATGCCTCAGACAGAAAAACATCTATTGGCTAATTTCATGAGTAAGTCAAATTTAAAAAGGTGAACTCAGATGGAAAAAAACACAAACTCACTGCACTGCCCTTGTGGAAAAAATGTAAGTAATTAAGTACGCTCCAAAATGAAGTATGCTCTGCATGGCTTTTGTGCTGATGGGGAAGAACGGCTTTGTAGACGCTAAACTGAGGGGTAAAACCACTCCATCAGGCAACCCCCAATTGACAGCTCTCAGACTATCTCCATTTTACATGGGAAAGGATCAACCCTTTAGGAAGGACTAGTTAAGATGAAAGGAGAAAATTATGACTTTCAGAGTATTATTACTACTCCTGGGAGAATTCTGTGCCACTGCAATTCTGTGCCACTGGGTACATGCAGAATTCATGTCCTCTGCAGATTTTTTTTTCTCTGCAGAAAATACATTCTGCTGGAGAGGCGCTGCAGTTATGCCTTTCGTCCACCAGGGGCTGCTGTGGTGTCAGACGGAGGGCAGTCAGCTCACCAGCTGGAGCAGCCAGCAGTTCATAGGAAGGAGGAGAAGGTGCATTCCTCACAGCACCCTACCCACAGGCATGGGACATGGGAGGGGGGGCAGACAGAGCAGGACACATGGGGCTGCAGGGGGGGGGGTCACACAGACTGGGATTCAGAAGAGCTAGTGGGGGGGACAGACTGGGGCAAGGACTGAATGGGAGTGGGGATGCAGAGCCACATAGGGACTCGGGGGTGGCTGAATGGGGGTGCACAGACACATGGGGACAGGGGGAGGAAGGGTGGCTGAGTGGGGGTGCAGGGACACATGGGGATGGGGGAAGGGGGTGCAGGGACACATGGGATGGCGCAGATGGGCCTGACTGAATGGGAAAGGCTAGGAGTCAGTCAGGGTCTGCATGGGGGAGGCTTCCTAACGACCCCTTCCTCCTTCAGCCCCCCAAAAATCCCCTGTTCCATGCTTTTCCCACCCACACCCAACACTACTCCAAGTTCACTCCCAGGCTCCTTCCCAGCAATTATGTCCCTCTCCTTCAGCTCCTCCATTGCTCCTGACTCCCCTAGGCCTTTGCACTGTTTCTGAGGGATGCGGGAAATCCGTTTCTGTATTGTAGTTTAAATGAATTATTACTCAAAGTTCTGTATTAATATGCCTAGTAAGGAATCTATTTGTCAAAAAACATTTCCTGAATCTTTTTTGTTTTCTGTATTATTACAGACATACTTGCTGACAGGTATTTTGAAAAAAATTACCAAAATAATTGAAACTGGCATGATTATATTGTATTATTCTGACAAATAAAATATGCAGAATTTTATAATATTGGGTGCAGAATTTTTAATTTTTTATGCAAAATTCCCCCAGAAGTATATTATATTTATTGAACATTGTTCACCTGTGGTCAAGATGGCTGAAGTCTTGCAAATTCAACTCCCTGGTATCTTGGGTCAGATAGATTGTATCCACATCCTGTTGTAAATGCACAAAAACACATCTTGGGAAAACTGTTTTTCTTAGTTTCGCAGTCTGCAGCTTCTCATTTTTTGTATAGTTAGCTGAAATAAACCTCAGTGTGAGATACATACTTACCCACTGTACCTCTTCCCTATATGGAAATCCAAGCCAGTCACAAACACATGCATACATTTGTGAAAATCCCCCTGGAAACAAAATAAAAGAACACTTTTCACTACAGCAAACAACAACAACAGGATGCACAATGTTTCAAAACTCACCCTCATTCCCTCTCAGAAACTTATCCATTATACTGCAGGCAGAAGCTGAAACAGACCAAGACTATAGTATGTTGTCTATCACATACGGCAGGTTGCAATGAAGTTTTAAAAATAGCATCTTCATCCACCAATCAGGAGTCCACTCTGTGCTAATTACACTTTAAAACTAAATTACACCTTTACTAGGTTCTGCCAGAAATAGAATTGAACTTCCTGACGCTGATGATTCCAACTTTTTTACATTTCAGCTTTAAAATTTCATTCTTACCACAAGGTCCCAGTTCTGTTACAGTCTGGCTATCCCACAGTGCCTGGAGATTAGCCAGTCTTTCTGAGGGCTCCATAGTTACTTTTTTCATGATTCTCCTACATGCAAGAGGGAAGAAATGCTTAATTTTAAAAAGTTTGTACATGTGTATCCACATATATATCACACACACAAATCTTACATGTGTTTTAAATATAATCTTATGTATGTGTCATATGTTTGTGCACATAAAGGAAAATATTAGCATCTTTAATACACCTCAAGTCTATTCCTCAAACCCAAATGTAAAGCTGCAGAAACAGTAAAGTCAGGTCTGTACTACAGACTTATATCAGTGTCACTATGTCACTCAGGGGTGTGAAAAATCCACACCCCTAGCGACAGTTATACCGATCTAACCCCTGGTGTAGACAGCACTGTCGGTGGGAGCGCTTCTCTCATCGACACAGCTACTGCCTCTTCTGGGGATGGATTAACTAAGGCTTGGTCTACAC